TCCCAAACCTCCTCAGTTTCTCCACCAGGATATCATGGGGCACTTTGTCAAAGGCCTTGCTGGAATCCAGGTAAACCACATCCTGTGTCCCCTCCATCCAGCCACCTCCGAACCTTGTCACAGAAGTCTTTTGGCTTCATGACTCACCAGCCTCCTGCACCTTCCTGTTTGTGCACTGGCTCCACCTTCAGGCACCTGGTGAGGTTGGCAGAAGGTGATGTGGCAACAAATGTTTTTAAGGGGGCAGGGGACTGAGGAGTTTCAATGTGTGGTGGAGAGGGAGGCGAGGATTTCACATTTATTAGGCACTGGAGAACATTTTGGGACAAGCTGAGCCTGTGCAGGAGGGACAGGCTCCAGCTGAACCATAACAGAGCCAAGCTGCTAGCATGAAACATAAAAAAGTTGCAGAGCATCTTTTAAACTGAATCCTGCTTGGGAAAGCTGAAAGAAGCTGGGAAGCATCTGGTTCAGGTCGGATAATTTCTAGTAGGAGGAAAGAGCAACAAGGTTAGGGTTATACCAAGCCATGATAACCAGTTGGAGAGGACTAAGTCCTAGAACAAAAGTCGCACAAGGCTTGAGCAGGATATTGTGCTTAGGTCTTTCTCCAGAAATGCTAGAAGCCTTCAGTCCAAAAAGGGAGAGCTGGAGTACCTGGCACCTCCACAAGATTCCTAACACGTGTTGCTGATAACTTCCTCCCACAGCGGAGGAAGGAACAAAGGGAACAGCTGTGCTTGACTTGGAACAAACCAAGAGGGAAGACCTCATGGACAAAGGGGCAGCTGTGGGAACTCCGGGGGAGAGTGACCCCACCATGCTTGGATTCTTGATTCTAAAGGAAGCAAAAGCCAAGTGCAGCCAAACATGTACCCCAGATTTCAAGAAAGACAATTTTAGTAAACCCAGAACAATGATAAGTAATGTCCCATGGCAAGGGATTCTAGTGAGCCAAGGAGTCCAAGAGGGGTGGGCATTTTTAGAAAGGAAATTCTGAAGGCACATTTGCAAACAATTCTAACCAGGAAAAGGGGAAGAAGACAACAGAGGAAGTCCATGTGGCTTCACAAAAGGCTTAGCGCTATCTGAAAGCAAAAACGGACAATTACAGGAAGTGGAAGGAAGGGCAAGTTACAAAGGATGGCAGGCAGCACTGGCGAACAGCACAGAATGACAGGGATGCGCTTCGACATTTTTGTTAATGACTTGGGTAAGGAGGTGCAGGGCATGATAATGCATAACTGGGTGGAATAACAGCCTGGAAGACAGCAAGCAGGTTCAAGGTGATCTCGGGAGGGTGCAGTATGGAGCTGAAAACAGCAGAATGTCATTCAATAGGGACAAATCCAAAGTTTACACCCAGGAAAAAGCAACAAGTGTATCAGTATAGGATGGGCAATACTTGGTTCCACAATACTGCAAGTGTCAAGAAACTTGGAATTGTTGTGGATCACAAGCTGAACACGAGACAATAATGCGATGTAGATGCAAAATGAGCAAATGCTGTTTTAGGCTGCATTAATAGAAGTATCACTTGCAAATCCTGTGAAGTTCTTGTTCCCCTTTACTCAGCACTGGTTAGGCCTCATATAGAGTCCTGTGTCCCATTCTGGGCACCCCAATTTAAGAAAGGAGCAAAAAAACTGGAAAGGATCCTGAGGAAGGCAGCAAGGATGGTCCAGGGACTGGAACCAAAGCCCTGTGAGGAGAGGCAGAAAGAATTGGACATGCCTACCCTCAAGAAAGGAAGGCCAGGGGGAGGTGTGATAGCACTCTTCAAGTACTTGAAAGGCTGTCACAAAGAGGAAGGACAAGGTCTCATTCATCCCAGAGAGCAGGACTCAAAATAACAGGGTCAAGGTACAGGAAACTCAATTCCAGCTAGATATCAGGAAAATTTTCTGACTGTCAGAGCAGTACCACAATGGAACCAATGGCCTAGGGAGGTTGTGCGCTGTCCCACACTAGGGGAATTCAGGATGAAACTGAACAGTCATCTGGGAGGGATGGTCGAACTCAGTGTCCTGCACTGAGCACAGAGTTGGACCTGATGGCTTTCTTGGCCCCTTCCAACTCTACCATTCTATGATTCTGTGATGAAGCCTCTTTCAGTTAGCTATAGCAGGTATTATAGTAAGCTGGTGGATTGGATAGGGCCAATGGGATGTGGTAATATTTGGCTATAAATTGTATAGGAAAGACAGTGAAGGATGTACCAGAGGTGTTGCCCTTGGTGTTAACCAGGCCAGGGAGTCCAGCAATTTTGCTAAAGAAGACTTATGAGTGAAAATTCTTGGCTCCAAAACTAACCTTACTTATAGGAGTATGCTATCATCCCCAGACCAGATCTTGAGATGGGAAATGAAATAAGGGAGGCCTTGAGCAAAGATAGTGCTGGAGTAACGGGGGACTTCAACTACCCACACGCGGACTGGATATAGGCATGTTCCACTCCTGACATGGGGGTTAAATCCCTCCAAGTCCCATGTAACTGCCCCGGAGCAGTTGGTCATGGAGCCAACCAGAGGGGAGGCAGCCCGGATGCAGTCCTAGGCGGGGTTGCCCGGGACACGGTCCAGGATGTAAGTTGTGTTGCTGAGCCATTCGCCAGCAGTGAAGACGCTGGTATCAGGTCTGATCTACAGTTAGGTGGAAGGCTGCCAAAGAGGCCGAACACGGTCGCGCCTGACTTTGAAAGAAGAAACTTCTTAAAAATGAAGGCACTGGTAGGGAGGATGCTGAAGAGGGCAATCAGGGAGTTTCAGTCGCTTCCGTGCTTGGAGATGACTCCAAAGCAATACAGTAGAGGCCCAGATAATGCACATACCACAAGTGAGGAAAAGCAGAAGAAACCCGCCTGGTTAATGGCTGGTTCAAGGAGTCAAGGAAGGTAATAGGGAGAAGAAAGCTTCCTTCCAGAGATGGAAGTCTTGCCCGGATGAAGGAAACAGACAGGACCACAAGCTTGCTCAAGGGAGATGCAAGCAGACTATCAGTGAAGCAAGGAGTTGGGTTGAGGAGCACATTGCTAACAAAATTAGGGGCAAGAATAAAGAGTTCTTTACATGTATCTCAAGAAAGAAAGCTGCTAAGGAAGCACTTGGGCCACTGGGTCATAATGGAATTAATGGAGCTCTAAGCAAGGATAGGGGACTGCAGGTGGCGCAGTGGTTTAAACCGCTGTGCTGCTGGGCTGGTAGATTGAAAGGTCGCTGGTTCGAATCTTCACAATGGGGTGAGTTCCCGTTGCTCCGTCCCAGCTCCTGCCAACCTTGCAGTTCGAAGGCATGCAAATGCAGGTAGATGAAAAGGTGCCACTTCGATGGGTAGGTAACAGTGTTCCGTGCACCTCGGTGTTTAGTCATGCCGGCCACATGACCATGGAGACTGTCTGCGGACAAACACTGGCTCTCTCGGCTAGGAAACAGAGATGAACACCACCCCCTAGAGTCAGGCATGACTGGACTTAATGTCAAGGGGAAACCTTTACCTTTAAGCAAGGACAAGGAGATTGCACAGAACTGAATGGACCCTTTTCGTCAGCCTTCCCAGCAGCGGATGCAGAGCAGATACCTGTCCCTGAGCCGTATGTATTCTGGCAGGGAGCCCAAGGCATTAGGGCAGATGGTAGTGACAAAAGACATCAGCAAGTCATCCAGTCCAGATGGCACTTATCCTAGAGTTAGCAAGAACTCTAAAATATTTAACTTGTCCCTAAAATCAGCCCTTGCACCAGAAGATTGGAAAATGGACAATGTAACACCAATTTTCAAAATGGAATCCTGGGGTATCTAGGAAATTATAGGCCAGTTAGCTTAACATCTGTTCTGGGTAAATTGTTTGAAAGCATAATAAAATAAAATAAAATAAATCATTAAGCACGTAGAGGGACAAGCGCTGCTGGGGGAAAAAGGTCAATTACTTGTCACTGTGGCTTGTAGCCACTGAGAGCAATCTCCTCATCCACATTCCCAGTCACCATGAGCTCACCAAGTGGCCTTTCCTGAATTACTCCAACCCCACCCACCTTGCTATGCAACACAGGGATAATATGAATACCAAGTTATTAGGTTAGTGCAAAAAAGGAAATGGGACTACAGGAACCACCAGGTTTGATTCAAGAAAAGCAGAAAAGTCTTGCTAAAAGTAAATATGGAAACCTTCAGTCCAAACAGAAGTACCTGTTGCTTGAGGTCTGGAAACTTGGTTGTTCTGTTTAAAGAAACAAACAGACCAAAGCAAGCTTTTGGCAGGAAACCAAGCCTTGCCTACCTTCCGCTGCTCCTTCCTCATGACGTGTTTGTCGTCATCCTTCCAGAAGGCATCCTCCAGTTCTTTCTGCCGCTTGGCATCTGCGGCTGCCTTGGCCTCCGCCTTTCTCGCCCGGGCGGCTGCCGACTTGGTGTTCTCTCCTTGGAACTTCTTTGGCATCCCTCAGGGCACTCTTGCCTGAAGGAGGAGGAATAAGCAGAGGAGAGCAGCACGGGTGTCACGCCAACAGTCAGTGCAGCTTTTCCAGCCAGGTGTGTGATGGACTACAAAGCCCAGCATCCCTAGCCCAGTTGATTAAGAAGCCCCAGCTCCACAGCATTCGACTTGTAGGGCAAGTCCAGCAGCCTCCCCACTCCGCAGGTCTGGGGCTACCCAGATGTGCTGCGACTGTGTCAGCCACGGGATGCTGGGAAGTGTAGTCCAACCCATCTGGCCTACGCCAAATGCACAATATCGATGTTTCATGGCGAAGAGGATTCACCCTCGTTTAGGCTCCTCCTTCGCCCCCCACGCCCCGCAGGGTCGCTCCCCGAGCACCTCGGGGCTGCAGCCCCTTCCCAGGAGCGGCGGAGGGGCATAATCCGAGGCCGCCCCACCTAATCCCGCTTTCCCCTACCTGCAGCTTCCACCTCCGGCCGTCGCAGCCTTTGCCCGTCACGCCTCCGCCCCTCTTTAGGGCCCCAGGAAGTGGGAGGGAGAAGGGGCGGGCCTTCCGCCATCGCGAAGCCTTCCGGGCCATCTTTGTTGCGGGGGCCGCCCTCCCACTCCCTCCCTGAGGTTTTCCGCCTTTCCCTTTCCAGTGGCCCCGCTTCAAGCGCCGCGGGAGGACGGACTGCTTGGAAATCGAAGGAGGCGAGCAACAGGGAGGCATCCCGCTCCGCCCGGAAGGATTTGGAGGCTTTGCAACTCAGTGTCCGATACCAAGATGGCACCCGCGGCGACGAGCATATTCCGCGGAACGGAAGACCGCCGGTTGCCTCCTCTAAGCACAAAGACGTGACGTCAGGATGCTTCTTTTATACTCATGCGCCCTTCACACGCCTCCACAAACCTTAGTAATGGTGGCCAGGGCTTCCCAATGTTAATATGACGGCCGCCTCTGTCAAGCCGCCCGTTGCCAAGATGGCGGTCCACGGGAACGGCTTTACGTTGCCTGCTCCGGCCAGGAAAGGGCAGTAACCAGCACGAAGATGGCAGCTTCGGCTTAAAAAACCTTTGGGTTAATAGCAAGAAATTCCAAAGAGAAAAGGGGTTTTCGATTAATAGAATGGTTTAAAGAAGTTAGGAATATTGAGGTTAATGATAAGTTGACATGTGAGATAAAGGTGAAAAAAGGATTGGTAAAGAAGAATGATTTTAACAATTTGTTGTTGTTAGTCGTGAAGTCGTGTCCGACCCATTGCGACCCAATGGACAACATTCCTCCAGGCCTTCCTGTCCTCCACCATCCCCCGGAGTCCACTTAAGCTCACCCCAGCTGCACCTCATCCTCCAGCCACCTCACCCTCTGCCACGCCTTTCTTCTTTTGCTGTCAATTGTTCCCAGCATTAGGCTCTTCTCCAGGGAGTCCTTCCTTCTCATTAGGTGGTCAAAGTATTTGAGTTTCATCTTCAGGATCTGGCCTTCTGAAGATCAGTCAGGGTTGATCTCCCCTAGGACTGACCAGTTGGATCGCCTTGCAGTCCAAGGGACTCGCAGGAGTCTCCTCCAGCACACAATTCAAAGGCCTCAGTCATTTGGCACTCGGCCTTCGTTATGGTCCAGCTTTCACAGCCATTCATTGCAACTGCGAAAACCATAGCCTTGACTATACGCACTTCTGTCGGCAGGGTGATGTCTCTGCTTTTTAGTATGCTGTCTAGACTTGCCATAGCTTTCCTCCCCAGGAGCAAATGTCTTTTAATTTCTTGGCTGCAGTGCCCATCTGCGGTGATCTTGGAGCCCAGAAAAATAAAATCTGTCACTACCTCCATTTCTTCCCCATCTTTTTGCCAGGAAGCGAGAGGACCAGATGCCATGATCTTAGTTTCTTAATGTTGAGTTTCAAGCCAACTTTTGCACTCTCCTCCTTCACCAGCATCAAAACATAGAAACAGAGCGAGTCAGAAGTGGTCCCCCAGGCCATCTAATCTGACCTCCGGCACCAGCCGGCTCCGCTCACGACATGCCCACCATGTGCATGTCCAGCCTATCCTTGAACACCCTCACCGATGGGGCCTCAACAACCTCTCATGGAAGCCCATTCCACACCCTCGGGGTCCTAAATGCTTCCTGGCATCCAAAGGGAACCTGGGTTCCCTGAGCTTTGCTCCCTTGGAGCGCGTCCTGCCTTCCTCTGCAGGGGAGAACAGGTCTCTACCCACCTCCATGTGACACCCCCTCACATACCTCTATGTCGCCAACAGATCACCTCTGAGTCTCCTCTTCTCCAGGCTGAAGAGACCCAGTTCCCTCAGTCTTAACTCATACGGCTTTCCCTGCAAACCAGCCACCAACGTTGTGGCCCTGCGCTGCACTGACTCTAACTTGGCTATATCATTTCTGTAATGAGGGGCCCAAAACTGAGTACAATACTCCAGTTGCAGGCACATCAGAGTCGTATAGAGTGGTAGTAATACCTCTCTCGCTCTAGAAGCCACACTTCTGGCCATGCAACCAAGGGTGGCGTTCGCCCTCTTGACCACCACATCACATGGCTGACTCAAGTTCAGCCTGCAGTCAAACAGCACCCCAAGGTCCCTTTCACAAGTGCTGCTCTCCAGCCACTTGTCCCCTAACCTGCACTTATGACACCCCTTCCTATGCCCCAAGTGCAAGATCTTGCACTTATCCACACTGAACGCCATCCTGTTGTCTCCTGCCCACTTCCATAGTCTGTCCAGATCCTTTTGGATCTGGAGTACCTGCTCCTCAGTCGTGGTCACTGCTCCAGTTTTAGTGTTGTCTGCGAATTTGATCAGCAGACTGTTCACCCCTTCTTCCATGTCATTTATGAAAAGATTAAACAGGATCGGCCCCAGGACAGAGCCCTGGGGGACCCCGCTTGTCACTGGCCGCCATCCCGATGATTCCCCACTAATG